AAGAAGGTTTTTTTCTTTCTTTCTACTGTTTAAATGACTTACAGAAATGAGTTCAAGTTACACAATTCTTGTTGTATGAACTAGAATGTAATTAATTAGTTTATTGACATATATAATTAGATAAATATTCGAACAGATAGAAATGGATTCATTTGTTCTGTAACTTGAATAATTCCTAATTTTATTTTACTTTAATCTGTTTTAATGGATGGTTAGATATAAAACTAATCATTTCAAGATTTTCATGAAATCACTTGATCTGCATAAATGTATCGGAAAAAATGAATAGACCTTCTGCACAGAGTATTCACATTTAGTCACTTGATACACCAATGAGCTATCGATCCAGCTATCTGAATAATAAATACACCAGTTGCTCGGGAATAATTAGTACCATTCTTTGTTCGAGTGACTTTGAAGAAAGTGGTTTTCAACTGTGTTCGTGCAGGAGACAGAGAGTGTTCGGTTTGATTTCCAGATGAAGGGTCGTGGATGCGCGCTCTTTAGGAGTTCCATACTATTGTGGTGTGTACTACTGATGCCGATAGATATAAGTAGTATGTATCATCAATCAGAAGTGAAATGCCTGGTGGCAGAAGATTAAGACGATCAAAGAAAAGAGAACGAGAACAAAAAAATGGTTGGTGTCGAAACGAAAGAACAATGAAGTCTGAGACGATCAACTGATGTTTGCAAAAGAAACATACAAGTTTGAAACAACTGATTGACATTTTGCAAATTAAGTATATACTGTATGGTCCTCAGATTTTATAAGATTTTCTGTAATTTTGTAATCAAATAATTCGATTTTCCCCACTTGTGTTCTCGTTCAATACACCACGAATGAACGATTGTCCAGTGCCTTCAGATTTTCAATGATTGTTGATTTCAATCACTGTCATTAATCTCTACAACCCCATGATGACAAATTAATGAATAGTTTTATTGATTGAATAGTCCTAGACAACAGGTTAATTTTTCGAGTATCTAAGAGTATTAATAACATACTAATATATAATTTGAGGTTTTTAGTCATAGAATACATTTTATTTACACTGTAGACGATTAGTAAGTTTGTTGAAGCAAATTATACTCCCCATTATCTAACGCCTCTTAATGAACAGATTACATTAATAATAATGAAATATTAAATTACTGATTACTTTATTTTTAAGCATTGTTTTATTTTTAAATTATTGACATGTGATTTATGTGACAGATAGTATTAACTTTACATTGTACATACTGCTACAATGAACACTTGGGAAATGTCGTTGTCATTGATTTATCTGAGCTAAGTAATTTAATTGTGGGACTTTGATTGTCTTCTCGGATAACATCATCAGCAGTCACTTCGTGTAGATTTGAGCTTCTCATTCGTACGATGAATGTTAAATTAGTTTGTCCTAGTGCCCTTGTTTATAGTTAATTGTTTTTAAGATAAACCCTATTCGACAACTTATATGAAAAATTTGATCAACCACATAGTCGCATAACGACTAAACAAAATATTCAACATAGAATGCAAGATTAAATAAAAACGAGGCCTACGAAGATAAACAACTAAAAACAAAAGCAGCAGAACAAACTATTTTTGAAAATTGTGTTACAACTGAGAAGCTTACTTATACGTGCAGAAAACGGTTGGTGGTCTCACCCATGAAAATAACGAAAGCTATGTAACTAAACTATCTAGCCCAAAGAACGCAATAACACCAAAAGTATCAACCTTAGCTGCGAAGCTTCTTTAACATATCAAGACTCGGAAGCTCGGTGTCAGGAAACAGAAAACTTACACCTATCGAGATCATTTGAAATTTAAGCTTATTACAAGCTAAAATAACAGTTTCACTATGACAGATGATTTTTGCTTCAAAATTCATTTCTCAGTTATGCCAAAAATAGATGTTCACAGGCGAGTAACTACACTCGAAATATGTTATATACCTTTTGTGCTTCATCTATAATTGAGAAATTCTTCAAAATTAATGCTCAAGCTAATCATATATTTTGAAGTATACTGGTTTATAGGGTATGGAAGAATTTTCGGTCATGAATTCAGGATTTATATTGGCCATAAAATATTTTTAGTTTCAAAACTGCAGGATAATTCCTCATAAAGACGGAATCTCATAGAAGAACAGGGTTGTATGACCAATACTACCGTTCAGTAGTATTGACCATTTTTATGAATTTCACAATAAAGTAGGTGTTTAAGTGTATTGCAAGGGAATTCTTAGGAGTAGTTCTTTATCAATTAAGTATGACTTGAATTATTTTTTTGAACTGCTATAAAATATGTGAAACAATATTTCATGTGAGGTTTAAGTTAAATTAAAGCCTGAAGACTTTATAACTTCTTTTCTTGTCTGTAATTAACTAGACCATTTTCCAAAACACAGATTTATAAGTTTTGTGTGTGCTAATGATGGGATTCTAAACTTGCGATCCGTCCTATTTGGGATTCGTCATCAGCTAATTTCCCTGTGTTTATGTTCAAATCAAGACTTAAAGATAGTAATCTTAACTTGAAATGCTGATGGATTAATTTTTTAAAATATTTCTTCATTAAGATAATGGAGTTAGAGAAGGTCAATTTATTTAGATGTAAGACCTTCGCTGTGATTCTCTGTGAGTGTATTTGTTGTGCAAACACGGACTGCTTGATGCCTCTTGGTATTCAAAGACTGTTCAGCCTATAGCAGTTTGTAAAAAATAACCATTTCTCAATATTTAATTCAATCAAATTTGACATCGTTGACTACATCTTTTGAATATAAGAGACCTAACTTGTAGTGGTGAACCACCCCAATAAAAAGTACTTTTATCTGGTTGAATACGTTTGTCGTTCATTCTACTGCTGATATTTCTTATGTATTAATTATTCCTGTACAGGATATGCACCTTCTGCAGGTGAAATTTATATTTCATATACAACGCAATGATATCCAAAGAGCAAAGTAGAATATAATATGGTATATTCAGTATATAAACACACTACAGGAGCGATTCCATATTATTGGAATAAAAACAGATGGACTAATTATCATTCATCTTTTACTTATTTACGTGGATTTATGATAATGAGTTTAGAGTCTTGACGAACGTCTTCAGAAGTTGGGATAAAGTGTCTAATAGAAATTCCCTAAATAATTCTAGGAAAATGACGAATTGCGTTTTTTTTACTACTTGGATGATTATCAATTAATTGTAGTCTAAAAGCCTCAACACTAACTTATAGATATTCACGTTTTCTGTACCTTATCAAATATGAAATTTTATTTCACATTCCCATTTGGGATCCACATGTAAGAAGTTTCTGTTGAACTAGGAAGCGATTAGAAGTTCGATTTAAATGATAATGTGAAGGCTATTAGGACGTCATTGATCACACTAAGTCACGTTATCCACCGATTTTAACCTACCTAGTCTAATCTGAGTTTTCATATACGTTTAAACAAATCATCATATTATTTTTAATACAAAACGAAACAAGGTATTATACAATTTGATTCTACTATTTTACTAATCAACACTATATATTATCATTCACATGAATTAATGAAGTTAGATATGTTTACAGAAAACAAAATGAAAAGGATGGGGAGAATAAAACAACTCACTATTTATCATTATGATATCAATGAAACATTTAAGAGAGAACAAGTGAATGAAGAGAAGTGTGACAAACCAAAAAAAGAATAGGAAACAAAACAAAAATCAATAAGACAGTGTAACATTTGTTATTGTTTCTAACATTTCCCTGATCAGAATTTTAAATGCCTTTTATGATGTATTTCATGGAAAGACTTTAATCACTTAGTCTATAAGAGGAAACAATGTAGATAAGTTAGAAATGAGAAAATTTACATTTTTTTTCTAAATGTAATTAATAGTTTCCATAAGTTTTACGAATAGGATTATTAGTAGAAATGAATCGAATCAATAAGATATTTCTTTCATTACACATTATAGTACTTCATCAATACATATATTAATCTTAGGTTAGTCTCAGTAAAAAAAGGAGACGGATTCAATATATATTCATTCTTCTGTTTATCAGAATGAAAGATTATCATGCAAACAAATAAAATTATTAATATGATTATGTTTATATTTCTTGTTGTTGCATAATATTAACTTTATCTTCATTGTTTACATAAAAATATTATTTTATTTAACTATCCATGTAATAACTGTTCAACAAGCCAGTCGTCACATTGTAAATCAAGTTGATTTTCAGTTAGAATATAAAGAAATTATAGTGAGTGAGTGAGTGAAAGAGTAGAAGGTGAATAGCATGAATATAAAAGATATCCTATGAATTGACAAAGAAAATATGAAGCTTATCACTATGTACGTATATGTATATATGAATATATACGATAAAGTATTATCCTAATATATAGAAAAGCTAAGCATTTATTATTATTATTATTATTATTATTATTATTAGTAGTAGTAGTAGTAGAAGAAGAAGAAGAAGTATTAGAAGTAGTAGTATTATACAAACATTACTGCTACTTTTTTGGTGAAATTACCGACAAAATATGTGCATTAAAAAAAAGATTATTAGTGCTAGAGAGGATAAAGAAGGATATTCTTTTCGTTGTTTTTGTTGTTGATGGTGGTATTGTTAACTAGAATGAAAATGAATGGATTGTCTTCATTTAAAATAAGTCACATACATAGATTAGCTTAAATATAATAAAACACTGAAGAAACGAAAAAAGAAAACGGAACAATTGAGCTGCTTTTATTTTAAACAGATTATTAACAATCTGTATAATGGAATGTTGTATTTATGCAAAATTTGTATTATTGCAACAGATAGCATTTATTTTCAAAGGAAAGAAAAGAAAAGAAATATGGAAGGACAATTTGAACTTGACAGTTTGTAAATATTCATTATTATTAACAAATTAAGAGTTATTTTCATTCTTGATAGATAGATATCAAAAATAAGCATTCTTCTATGTTATCCATACAGGTTAAATTGGTTACCTAAATAAAATAAATTAAAATAAGGTTTATATAATTATATTATGTAATTATTCAATATAACTATGAGAAGGGGTTTTTTGTATATTATAGTAATTTTAATAGCTAAGATCATAAGTTAATTGAAGCTAGACGACCATGAAAAAGCTGTCGCTCAATTTCGTGAATAAGTTGAAGTTAAACTAACACCGTTGGATGCCAGCTGCCTCAGTGGTCTACAGTTTAATCGTTCACGCGAGAGACTGATAGGTCCTGTGTTCGAACCTTGCGAGGCAGGATCGTGGATGTTCACTGCTGTGGAAACCCACATTTGGACGAAACTGCCGTCCAATCTTTCCATGTTTTCCATGTTTGTTTAGCTTCAATCGACTCACGATCTTAAGTATTAAAATTAATATAATTATCAAAATACCAAATATTACCGGTAAAATGTAAAATTATGGTGAAAATGAGCTTATTATACAGAAAAACCCCACCCGTTGGATTAATAGTGGACACAATAAAAAACCAACTTTAGATGTCATATGAAGAACATTTTACTACTCAGTCACTGGGTCAAAATGTACTGATAACCGCAACTTGTTCATCATATAGACATTCAACAATTAAAAGTCAATCTAGTTTCAGTATTCCAGTAAAAAAACAACTGAAAATCTGATTTCTAGTGAATTAATGACGAACTTAAAGAATTTACTCAATTTCATTACAGACTACCCGTTATGTATCATCGGAATTCAACCTTCCAGTTCAATCTCCTATTGGATTGAAGAGGCATATCAATGTTCGAGAAACTATCTATGTAAACAGCAATTGGGAAAAATTAAGTTAAATATAAGAAAATCTGATTTCCAAATCTATTGTGGAAAAGCGTCCTAAGAGGTGTATTTGAAACAGATTATTCATAAGTTAGTATCAAAATTGATAACGACTAGAAGTAAGCCTTTTTCAACCTTATTTTATCTTAAAATACAATATGATGTTTTTTTTAATTCAATAAATGATCATTCTATTGCACTTAGTAACTACGAAATACCGAGTGAATTCAAAATATGAACTCTTAAATAACCAATTCAGATTTCAGAACCGAATTATATTCAAGATGACAAAGCCAATACTTTTTAAACTATTACAAGTTCTCAATGTAATGAAAAGTTGTAGCTCCGTATTCTATGCTTCTGTTGAAAATGTCTGAACCATATCTAATTGTGTAAATCGATGAATAAAGAACACGCTGAAATTCTTAAGTTAAATAATTTGGTTTTAAAACGATCACGTAGATTCACATCATAGTAATACTGTTTGAATTTAACATACACCACACTCAAAATGAAGCTGTTTGAAACTAGCTGCACAACTTAAAATAAAGATCATTTAAAGATTCGTGAAAGAATCGTAGTTGAGTGCTATGTCCAAGAATTATTCACCTGGAAGATATTATCTTTATGTTGATAACTAGAACTTATGCTCACTTTTGCTACTTATGACATAGAACATACACTGGGGAACTTATCAAACTGCATCACGGAGCAAGCGCCAACTTGCAATAGAAATAAGATGTCAAATAGAAAATTTATCGTATGCCTTCTTAATAGTACCTAACGTTAACTAGAGACAAACATTAGTCGAAAGTAGTCGTCAACATCCGACTTCTATCGCAAAATTTATAATTTCTAACCAAATACGTTCAACTTTACTCTTGTTTCTATACTCTTACCTTGTTTAAATTATTGTCATTATTATTAAAATATGATATTTTTATTAGTTTAACAAAGCAGGAATATTAATATTACTATTAGTAATATCATCATTTATATCGTAAACATTTGTAATTTTTTGATTAAATAACCTTCAACGTGACTGTAATAATATCCACTCATTATATTTATTTAATCTCCTCATATCTACTGAAGTAAATGTTCTTTATTTAAACTCATAAATAGGATTCGTAACTGTGTTGTTGTTGTGTCTTTTCATAACCAAATGATTTAATAATAGTACATGAACAATATACATTAAATAAGCAAATATAGATAAAGGTTAGAAGTGGAATAAAGGACGCGAGTTTCTTCCTATTTGCGACTCGTCAGATAGATTTATCTGCATCTCAGAGTTGATATTCACTCTGGGACTCGAACCCGGTACCGTTCGCTTCAAACCGAATCACAAAATAAAACAAATTTATCCAGTCTTAAAAATGTTATCCTAATTGATTCATTCAAGTTGATAAATAAAAATGCAGTTCTAATACTTAAGTGGTACATGTATTCATAAACTATCTAGAGAGTAGCTATTATTTATTTCAGTTAGTTGAATCAAACTGAATTTGTCATTTGCTTACTGTGTTAGACTTATATCTTACTTATAGTTTGGTAAGTAAAAACAATGAATATTGTATAAGTTATTTGAATATTGAATTATTCTGTCAAATATAGTTATAATGAGTTGTAGTTTGAGAACTCTACACTATTAGATAATGAATGGTTTTAAATTCTTTAATGTCGGAAATTGAAGTCATTTAGTTTAATGTTAGAGTGATATACTTTGAATTTTACTACTGTTAAAGTGATTTACAATGGGTTATCAAAGAAAGTTAATGAAGTTTAATACTTTGTATAAATCCTGATTTGTATACAGATTCACTTGGATACCCTAAACTCCGATTGCTTAAGAAATCAATATCCAACCAAGTGTATTGTGATAAATAAAATACAAAAATATAATTTTTAGAATCCCAGTAATTTCATAATTATCTGAAAATTAAAGTATATTGAATAGTTAAATTCATGAGACGATGTAAGCTGGACCATCATTGAAAACCTAGAAACACTGAACGGCCGTTCCATCATAGTACGAAACTCCTCAGCAGTGTACATCCACGATCCCACATGCGGGACTCAAACTCAACTTTTGATGGGAAGCCGCGACCAGTTGAGCACGATCCGTTTCGGGTGTGAGACAAGTATCTACCTCAGACAATGGATGGATGGTTGCGCAAGATCATGAATCGATTGAAGTTAGATGTTAACAACGTTAGATGCCGGATAAGTAGTCAAGAAGTTAAGCGTTTGTGCGCGAGATCGAAGGTTTTTGGCTCAGATTTTGCGTGCATATCGTGGATAGATACAGCCGAATTGTCCCATACTAGGGCAAAAGGGCCATCCAGTGTTTCCAGGTTTTCAATGGTGGTTTAGATAAGATCAACTGATGAATTGAAGTATTAAAATTTCATAATTGTTGAAGAGACAAAAACCGACTGCTTGAACACTATTTGATGTTTGCAGTTTCAAGAAAAGAAAGTGTATTCCTTCATCTTATTTACAATTATACAATTATAAACACAACATAAATGTAATCTCTATTATTTTGCAAATCGGTTTCTAACGTCATATTATTGGCTTTCATTCATAGATTTACAACCATGTATATAGGATTGATAATTTCTGTTCAGAAAGTATTTGTATCTGTTTGTTTATTTAACTTGAATCAAATAAGCGTAGATAATATATCGTTCATATAAAACAAAATGAAGGTAATTGTAGGCAATTGATTTAAAGATGAATCATAAAGATTTACTTACTTGTTTAGTCTGTATAGTCTATCGTCTAACTTGACAAGGATCATTAAAAAGAAATGCAGCTGAATTTGGTATAGCAATCTGATTTTTCAGTCTTCCTACTTTGAGAATAACTTTATATGGAGCTGCCTAAAAAAAGAGATTTATCAATCAAATATGTTTCTTTTTTAACTACAACAATTTTTAAATTATTTTTTATCAGAATGGGGTTTGTAGAGATTGTAGTGATTTCAGTAGTTGGGTTAATGAGTCGATGTAAGCTAGACCACCATTGCGAACATGAAAGGATTGGACTGCCGTTTCATCCTAGCATGGCGTTCTTCAGAAGCACCCATCCATGATCTCTGATGTGATCTAGAGGTTAAACGTCCGCGTGTGAGACCAAAGATCTTGGGCTTGAGTCCCGCATGCGGGATCGTGGATGGGTACTGCTGAGAAGTTCCATAAAAGAACGAAGCGGCTGTCCACTGCTTCCGGTTTTTCAATGGTAGTCTAGCTCACATCGACTCATGAATTCGACTACTAACATTTCTAATTCATCAAGTAGAATTGTTAAAAACTTAATAGTCATTACACTAAAAATTTGAATTTATGTTCAACAATGAATGTAGCATCCAAAAAAATGTTCTTACACATTTAGTTGTTAGTTGTTACTAAAGCGTTTAATAACAAGTAGTGAAGGACCTTCCAGTTGTCTATAAACCCGATGGTTTTAAAAATACGAATCCTTATTCAAAAAAGCCAACACTGATATTTAGTAAGTTCAGTTGCCGTAGCATGAAGAATATGTGAATTTTAAACTGAATTTCTGACGAAAACTGTTCATCTATGTAGAATTAAAATAATAAAATATTTACTGCTTGAATGATTGCTTTTGTTACACACAAGCTGATTTTATAATATGACAGGAGCTAAGCAAATTAAAGAAAAACGACTAAAGTTATTACTAAGTGAACATTTTGTATGAGCCTTAACCTCCAATAATAATTATGGAAAACAAAACCTTTTATTCGACAATAATCTTCATCACGTCAAAAACATTTAACTTGTAACTAAATATTCTGTTGATTCCATGAATAAGCTGTACCACCATATGTACTAGTAATGGTGAAAATTTACATTATTTACTAAAGTATGAGATATTTAATTACCTTCAATAGAGCACCAACAATTTCACTAGTTAATGTGCTTGTATCTTTACCATTTACTTCCAGGATTTGATCATTTGCCATGAGACGACCATCAGTTGCTGCAATCGATCCTTTAATCTAGTAAAATAACAAAATGTTAAACTTTTCTTGGAATTCATGAAAACTTGATCATAGAGAATAACGAATTGTTCGTAAAACATATTTTTATAATCAGTAAATATGTTAAACTAGCTTAGTCTTACTGATATGGAGAGTCAATCAGAAGTAGAAAAACGTCAGTTGATGGCAATCAGAAGAGACCCAAAGGTTAAGTGAATTTCATCGGGGTTAATGGGTCACTTTCCTAAGGATGGCATAGATATGAATGAGTATTTGCGCATCCCATTCGGTAGTCCAGTACACTTTCTCGCCCACGTAGACAGTTGGGGGGGTATCACATAGCATACCGTGTATCAGTACCAGATTTCGGACACCGCACGTCACAACACTTACTATCAATATTGTTTATTAAGTTCTGAATAAACGCATAAATGGAAATAAATGATATGAATTTTGAATCAATTAAGTTTGAAGAGAGATAGGATTATTTTCCTGATTAATATTTTACTGACAGGAAAATGAATAACACAGTTTCTGAAAGATCTAGTTAATTATATGGAATCAATTTCATTTATCAAAATCATGAGTGAAGTTGACTTCGAAGATCTCAGCAATTTCTTTTGAAATATTTCAACGATTATTACAGACAAATTGACCGCACAAGTCAACAAGAATAGCCCGAAGTCCCTCAATTATCTTTGAGATAAATTATTACTACATTTTAGTACATACGTTTTCTTACATTATGTACAACAAATATAAAAGTGTTATTGAAAGGCTTCACATTTGAATAATTATTATTCTGATTCAAATTATTCATGAGCATCGGGTCATCTTATAATTATCATACAGTATATTTTAGGGTTGTTTATATGTTATTTTTATTCCCAAGGGATTTATCATTTTTACCATGTGTAGAAAATCAATTAGTCACTTTCGCTTACAGGTTAGATGAGTTTTAGCTCAGTAATTCGGAATGACCAAGTAGACTCATTTCACAGATTTAATTCTCGATTTATGCTGACGATTGTTATTTATAACCATTTTTTTCACATTTCTGTTAGTAACTGTACAATAAAGTAAAAAGTAAAAATCATGATTATTACTGAAACCGACTCACTATTTCAGTAACAATAACGCCATATGATGTTTGCATTTCGGAAGTGTTTACATAGGAATTATCTTGTACCTTTAAAGTATTTTCATTCTCTGACAAATTTTCATCTAGTTTAAGATGTACACATCGATCTGCAATACAAATTCCCAAACCTTTTCCAGATTTCTTCAATAATTCAATTACTAATTCTTGATCAAACCATTTCTGACTTTGTTCTGTTGGTCGAAATATAGTGAGATTTAAATAAGTTTGTTCTTGATTTGATAAAGAAATATTTTCATTTTCATCATCTGAATCTAGTTTTATCATAGACGATTTGCTAATATAAGCCATTTGAAGTTTATTCATAGCTTCCAAAAATGGTACACCAACTAATGATATTCGATTGACATTACTAATTCGATCCCCTGGACGCAAACGTCCATCTTTTGCCGCTGCACCATTAGGATAGATTTCATGTATAACTGGAACATTCTGTAAAAAAAAATATTGGTTTTATAATTATTTGTATAAAGATTTACACTTCGAATAACTTTACAATACTTCAATAGAATGTTAATAAATTTTAACTTGAAATAACTTAGAAAACCGATTGTTTATTTTCAATTTTCATTTGTTGTTGAGTAGTTTTAAGAATTTTGTATAAATCGGTTTCAAAGTTATTATTTTAAAATAGTAAATAATAAAACAAACTTATATAAATCTGTTGATGAAGCTGCTTAAATCATTACATCCTTCATTGATTTTTCAAGTTATTCCATACAACCACAGCATAGAAAGATGTGCTAAACCATTTTAAACTTTATATTTGTCAAGTTATATTTTAAAATAAATTATAGCCTAAGGCGAATTGAATGAGATTAGAATCAAAGGTTTTCAGTTTAGTTCTGTCAATAAGAAGAATACTATTTGATTTCAAGTGCTTATTTATTTGTTGTCAGTTTTTATTAAATTTATCTTCGAATTCAGTAAACAATAATAATAAAGCCTAATAAGAATTCAAAGAATACCTATAAACTGTCCAACAAAGCATATTCAGATATTATTTAACAGAATTTTTATATAAGCAAAGATGGATAGTTGCTAGCAGTAGAGTCCAGGACTCATGTTTCGTTCTATCTAGTACTCGTTAGATGAATTTACCTGCATCCCAAATTTGATGTTCACTATCTATTTTAGTTTATAATGCTTGTGAATTAAGGCAGTATCGAGGTATTACGCACAGTATGCACGTATGTCAATAAGAGATTGATCAATTTCAGTCGTAAACATCAATGTAAAGTTTCAAGTAAACAATACCGAGAATTCTATAAGAATTTGTTTATTTATTGGATTGATAAATATCTCATAGTTAAAATATAATGGAAACAGAAATGTAGGCTCACATTTAGAGAAGATGAGAATTACCTCTAAAATGTACATCATACTATTGTTATAATTATCACAGTTAATTAGATAAGGACACTTTAACAAGATTTCAGCTGATAATTTATGTCAGATTTACTTGAAAAGTATGTATTCACTAATAAGATATTAAAATATTCAGATCCAAAAATTACACAATATGTGCATATTAAACTTAGATCAGTGAAAATATTTCCTAATCTTGTTTGAAACGTAATCTAAATACATCATTAAACAAACAAAACAAAGTTGATTTTCGTCACATGCATGATAATGGTACACTTCTACTCTGGTTTCATATTATTATAATTATTATGAAATTTTAACAAAGATCAATACTACTGATTAGGAGATCTTGTTTCATGTGTATCATTCTATAAACTTTGTTGAAAATCGATTGATTCAATTGAGTTAAATATATTTCTGACGAAATGATATAGAATGAATATCTGAAGTTAAAATTAAGTTAACAACAACCGATAGGTTTTTCCTACTAATAATAGTAAAACTGAAATTACAGAAAAATACCCTACCATGACAAATTTTAATTCTTTGAAAACGAGGTAAGTTACAGCACATTATCGTGGTAGCCTTAAGAATATAGTTACATAGTCGAAGTTAAAATAATTAACAAGGTAATCTATCAATTACATACCTATAGTTGTGAACAGGGGTGAGCATACATTATTGAACTATCTGGAACGTGTAAAATCTCTATTAAACCATTGACATTTTCATGGAGGTTATGAGGTTATTTGATATATTACACTGAATACCATAGTATTATTTACAAAGTTATAATGGAACACACACAAACATTCAGTTTCTTATCCCTTATCACGGTAGAATTTAAATAGTTGGGTAAGGCATTCTGTATTATGTTACCACAACAAATGATCATAAAACTGTTAGCACTTATGTCAATCTATTCAACGTGTATTATTTTCTTTTCATTGGTATTCACTTTTTAGCAATTTAACAGGGAAGAAATATTACATTTTACTAATACACTTAGTAACAGTTCTATATCACAGTATATGGAAATCCCAATTTTAATTCACAGTAGTAATTAATCAATTATCATCGAAATTGAAAGTTTGATGTTCTTTTTAAGAAGTAAGTAAATGATGGATTTAGTTAGAACTGAAGTAGTTAACCATAGATTTATCACTTCAAATGTTTATAAAAAGCCTACAAGACTATCCATATAAATCTTAATTGTCTGTATTATTAATGAGAGAGAAGATTTCTCATATCTTTATTTATTTATTATTTATGTATTCTACATTTAGTTGTAATTTCATATTAATATCACATGTAAATAAACAAAAGTTTATTTATTCAAAACAAACTTATAATCACATGATTAAGAATAAGATGAACATATTTTAAATCAATATGTTTATAACAAACTTTAAAAAAACAACAACATGGAGGATGTAATTATGTTGTTAAGGTTTGAAAAAAATTATGACCACATCATAAAAGCGAAGATGTATGTTGTCTAGCAGTAGAATCCAGGACGTGCGTTTCGTCCCATTTGGAACTCGTTAGTTGGATGTGTCCACATCTCAGAGTTGATATTCACTTTGGAACTCAAACCCAGTACTGTTCGCTTCAAACGCCATCACGTTATCCGCTTAGATACTGAGTTCTGATAGCCACCTGCTTGTGCAATGGGGTGAAGTTTAAATTCACTTGTTGTTTTTTACTTGTATCTTCCCATTGTTATTTAAGACTGCGAATGATCAGTCTCATGTACTGGGTTCAAGTTCCAAAGTAAAAATCGAGTCCCAAATAGGACGAAACGCGCGTCTTGGAATTCACTGTTAGCCACTATCCATCTTTGCTTAAAAAGATTGTGACTTAAGGCTATATCAAGGCAATCCGCACAGGATGCACATATGCCAACATGAGGCTGATCAATCACAGTCCTAAATAACAATGGGAAGACACAAGTAAAAAACAACACCAAGTGAATTTACATCATAAAAGTATATACCTGACAAAAAATTATTTTATTCTATGGTAGAAAATAAGACTGTTCTTTTTTTCTGTAATGACTTCAGATAATGTTTCTTCCCAAAAAATAAAGTGAGTTCGTTAACAAACGTTTAATCAAATATGAAATATTTCATTATTTTACACCATTTTTCTACTCAGTAGCTAAGTGGATAGATAATGTGATGACATTTGAAGTGAACAGTACTAGGTTTGAGTTCCAAAGTGAACATCAACTCTGAGATATAGGTACATCCAACTGACGAGTCACAAATAGGATGAAACCTGTGTCCTGGATTCCACTGCTAACCACCATCTATCTTTGCTTATATTCTCTATTGTTTATTCTGTTTTTATACAGATTACTAAAAATCTACTGCTACTACTAAAATTCGGTATACATACTTCAGTACTTTTAGTAATTACTTTTAGTTTTAAATGAAATGAAATTATATCACTTAAACGGCAACTTATGTTTTCGATGTACAATTCCTTTGAGAGTTAACATGGAGTTATTTTTTGTTCATAGTATGTAAAAAGTGTGTATGTATACAATAAAGCATTTGCACGCTTACTAGTGCTGTTTCACAGCCTCCTATACAGCCTATCCCTAGACCACAAGAATTATTTATTGCGATCGATATTTCAGTTTCAGTTCCAGACTTGATGGGGCGGATTGTTGCTTCAATTTCTGGTTCGTCATTAATTAAAATTGAGATTTTATCGAAATTCATTATATCTCCTTGAAGGTTTATTGAAGTTGTTGAATAGTTTGGCAAAGGCTGTAGAACAGTAGTAGGAATATGCTCCCGTTTATAACAGATGTTTGGAAAACTTGCACGACGATACCTTGATACGATTTGTCGGGGTACTAACCAGCTCGTACCTTTATGGTTTCGAAAAGGCAAAACATATAAAGGAAGTTTAACAAATTCATTTTTAATAATTTAAATTAAAATTATAAAGTGAACATTGAAAAACATTTGAACTCACCATATATGGTAAGATGTTCTTCTTGAGTCTAAAGATTTAATATCTTATGTTTGAATTGTTCTGGAGGTATGCTCAATAGAACCTTTGACTTGCTTAGTTATTTTCCAGAAGATAATTTGAACAATTTGTCACACACAAACTATGATTTCAAAGTCGAGAATACAAAATAAGATTCTTGAGAAATGTTTATTATTTACCTGACATTTGCCATGATGAAGATGTCTTTGAGTTGATTTATATTGTAATTTCCCTAAATTATTACTTCATTCATTCAGATTTCTGTCATGTTAGGTGGTAATTATCGAGAAGATCAGGGTCTAGATTTTATACTATATAGGACCTATCTGCCAGATATACCTATAGTCTTAGAGAAACAAATATTCCTCTTTGTCCTCAAACCTTTGTCACCAATTATTATTGCATGTGAACTGAGTAATAATAATAATAATAATAGTAATAATAATAATAATAATAATAATAATAGGTTTATTTAACATGATATGTTCAGTACAAAATAGAATTCTTATCAAAGAACATTTCGACAAGTTTCTTTTACTCTTCTTACATCACAAGACAATCGAAACCTCATACATATTTGTACGAAATAAGTAAATAAATTATCTAGAATTGAATGAAATTTGTCTAAAAAAAATAGAGATCTATACAACAGTGAGTTAGCAGCATGTTCATGAATGAAATTTTTTCATTGGGTCAGCCCTCACAACCTGTTCGTCAGATGGTATATATGCTAGATACGGTATTGTAAAAACTTTATACTTCTCATCGAAATCATGAACCGATTAATGGGTTGATTGAAGTTAAACATTAATACAGTTGGTTGGATATCGAGTCAGTGATGTAGAAGTTAAACGTCTGCGCGCGAGACTGATAGGACCTGGGTTCGAGTCTTGCAAGGCGGGATCGTGGATGCGCACTTCTGAGTCCCACACTAGGACGAAACGGCCCTCCAGTGATTCCAGGTTTTCCATGGTGGTCTAGAATCAAGTGACTCTTGATATCAACTATCAAAATTACCATAATATTCACAAAAACTCCTGGCAAAATCATTTGTTTGAATTGTTTAATTTTAATATGTCTATGGATTTTAGAAATTAAAATTCGAACAATCAGTCAGTAATTAGGTATTTTAAACAAAATTCTTACAATAACTATCTAATTTATTATTCTAAACAGTATGTACTATTATTTTAACTTATAAAACATGATATTGCCACGAGTTCAATAAACCCGGAAACTTGTATTTATGTACAAGTAAATTTATTTAGTCATTGACTCTAAGATGAATCATTTTATTTGTTTATTTTATAGATCCATATTATTTATGATTTAGATATATTTGACAATCCAATTACCTTTTTACCATATGATATATCATATATAAAAGGTGTTTATTGTTAAGGGAGCTACATGTCTGAGGGTTGATAGTTTCCATTGTTGGATCAACATATATATCACACAACTCACCACCAGTTCTCGCCAGAGCAGAGCCTGGAATAGATGTATGTTGGTCCAATTTTCTATATCGTATTAATACGATGAAATTAATGAGTAGCAAAAAATCAAAATAATGTGGTAATGATGACAATGGAAAAGACTAAGTATTTAGAAAAAGGCTTCAAGAAACTGTGGAAAGTTACATATGAGGGTATAATAGGACTTGAGATTTAGAGTAGGAGAACAAGTCAATTCATTTGCATTACCATCAACGATTCTGATACATACTACTCAAAGTCCGGAACCATTGATTGCGGTTATCTCATGGACCCCAGACAGGTAGTATGCATCTTCTAAAAAGGTTAGAATCAACAATTTATGGCTTTCTTTCAATCTACTCCTACACCAGCAACCATTACTTGTCGAAATAAGCGGTTACTAGGCATACGTAACACATGTTCTACCCACCGTGGTCGGTGGAGAATCATCGCCTCATCAACCTATTTGCCACTTTTGGTCAGTACTCTATACCTAACCTCATTCGATTATTTGGTTGCTTCAAGAAACGCGAGCGATGCTTCATAGAAACACATGATCAAAAACCTGTAGTTGACGAGTGTGTTACAGCCTCAAAGTAGTACGGAGTTGACTCCATAGCACCATATACCCATTACGGTCAACAGACGAAATCTCACCTACACCTGGATGTATATATAATGCACAATTTAAGGGATAATTTTTTTATAGATTACTGTTAGCAAATAATCAACATAATGCACTTTTAGTGAAAAAGATAAAGCGAATAACTGAACAATTTATTTATGAATGACAGATACTTAATTGATGTTATAAATACCATTTTTAATTTATCAACTTATTTTTTGACTGATCTTCGTTATCAACTAATTAAATATCACATATCAGTCTCAATGTTTACGGGGCTACCTGCAAATCCTCTTTAACCGCTTAACTAGAGGGCGGCCTGCTTGAGCATCTGGGCTACCTGTTCCTGCCATCTAGATATTTCAACAAGTTATCTATTGTTGTTTGTTTTAATATATCATTATGTTTATTAATCGCATAACCTATTCTGCTGCGTTTCTGAAAAGTGTACAACCTTTCGTTGTCAAAGTTACAGAAAACTCAATAAGAGACAATATGGTTGCTGGCAATGTACAACGAAAAGAATGTACATTATTCAGTTGTTCATTCACTGAAGTGCTAACATCTAACTGGCGATTCCTCAATATTTATCGCCAGGACCGACCAAGAAGAAAGAAACGGAAACTTTTTGAAATACTTTGCGCTGAGAATTCTATATTGTACCAAAATTATAATATTGAATAAAGCTAATAATAATAAATAATAATAATATCAAAACATACTTCGTCTGATATTTAGCAACTTTGACTAAGCGCCATGTTGTGACTTATTTTTTAGGATTCGTTGAGGACTAAATATGATACAATTGGCACAAGTGTTACTCAGCGATTAACTAGTGTAAATATCTCAAACCTACAGTAAATCGTCTCCAACTATCATAATGTGTGAGACAATTATGAGTCTTACGAAAGTATCAGTTCCATCACGGTTGTAGATACACCTTGTTGATGAGAGATAAACAACTAAAAATATGGATTCATGATGACCTATTGATTAACTCTACCTAACAGATATACAATAACGTAACCATAAATCGGTATAAATCTAAAACATTTTAAATATGTGACTTGTCAAAAAAAAACTCATCATTTGCTGGGCAGTGATATAAAGAAATTGTTATAATAAGAAAAATAACTACCATCATAACAGGTTTATTTTAAGGTTCATTTTCAGTAAATAACTGGGAACAAATCATACGTTCTGTCACTAAATCATATAGATTTTACCAATATCTTCGTGCGTGTAAATATTATCGGTGACATTAGTTCATAAGTATTTCATATATTTATAGGAAATATAACAACTTTTTCTTAAAATGTTCACTTCAAAGGATATTTAAAACCGAAACATACATGACACTATGTTATATATACATCGAAAATGGTTAATAAAGGGCAAAATTATTTACCCGAAGAATATTTTAACCAATTGACTTTCAAGTTAGTATTGTAGAAAAACTAAACACCACAATATCAGCATACTGACAGTTTGTGTTCGTCTTTTGTGTAAAAAGAACTGAACAAAATGTTTACAGATTTCTTTTAGAAGGTGAATAAATGGCGTAAAGTAAGACTGGTAACTTAAAAAAAGCATGCAAAATAACTACTATATTGACTTTTTATCAGAAGTATTCAATACAAATGTGTAAATGTTTGGAATTAATACATCTGTAATGAAGAAGTGTTTGTATGTAAAAAACGTAGTACATTCTGAAGTAGAAAAAATCAACCTTACCCTTAGTAGGATGAACTATTGTCATATGTTCAAAACAAATGGCATTATGATGGTTTGAAAGCATGTGTTAGAAACCTATTTATTCAAGTAGTAACTACTTCAATGTTTTACAATTAATGGCTACTTCATCAATAAGAGCTTACACATTCTTAAGTTATGCTATTGAAGTGATTATTCTACAAGACGTATATCTGTCACTTTCTTGAGTTCGCACAGATCAGAAATCTGTCATAAAGATATGAGGTATGTTTTATTCAATGTTGTTTCAACGCAACTCTTATGGATTACCTATTTGACGAAAATTATAAACCACCTAACCATAGTTACTTCATGCAATTATTAGTCTGTGATAATTTTCCAAATAGAGGATACAGCATATTAGCCTTCAGACTTTCGGAACAACCCGATCAATTACTTAGTTTATATTCTTTATAGTTTTTCCCATTTACAAATTTGAGTGAAGCTAGAACAAATAATGTAACAGAATAACATCAATTCATTCTATTTTGTAGCTCCACGTCAGCTGCTTAAAACCTAAACATAATATTATAATCTTTAAAAATCAGTCTGCATACTTTATATCATAACATGGGTAGGGTTCTCATCAATGAAGACTGATGAAAAAAGCAATTATTATGCAAGAACTATAAGAGATGTTCACATGTTAATTAATGTTAACATTTAAAGGTTTAATACAGGAATATCATAGAATAAATAACTAAGAACATAGAAACAGAATTATTTAGAAGTGACATATTAATGTTCTAGTTAAGTAAATCTTGAAAAAATTGGCCAACAGAGTACAGATCAGACAGAAAATGAGTATTAATAATTAGTATAATTAAAAAAGAGAATCTTGTTACAAATATTTATGAATGAGTTCAATACAGCAAGGCATGATTGACAACTAAATTGTTCTGGATACATAAATTTGCTTTAATTCTTTTTATGGTGATTGCTTTAGCAAACCGCAGTAAATTTGACGTTTTTTGTTTATTAGTTATCTTAAAGGACTTTGAGACATAAACATCATGACCACTTTCAAAGAGATGGCGTGCAATCACACTACTATAAACGTATTGTTCTTTCAGTCTAAGCTTCCACCTATCTAGTTAATATTTCTAAGTGACTCTGAATTATATAGATTGGACAGAGTATCCATAATGTCAGACACCTTAACAAAATAAGAACCAAATTATAAAGAAATAGTGAAACTGTCAACAAGCTTTTCAGTCCGCAGAATTTACTGGAATTGAACAGACTATGTACACTAGAAATCATATTTCAACCTTTCAGTCTTTTTGTAGAGAAATGATTCTGATTATCATTGTTTTACGAGTAATATATCATTTATTTTAAAAAAAAAACTTTTCATACATCTGTTATAACTTTAACTACTGAAAGCATGTTATCAACAACGCTCGTTAGATTCTTCCTTACAGTAAATGTTTATTTCTTATGTATATGAGTTAATGAACAAATAAGGTTACACAGACATAAATCAAGTTTATTCATTTGATTTTCTCAATGATAAATACATATAAAAGTTGAGTTCACTAGTCAATCTAAGCTAAACCACCATTGAAAACCTGGAAGCATTTGATGGCCGTTTCATCCTATTATCGAGATCCTTAGCAGTGAGCATCAACGATACTGTAATCTCCAGAAATCCCGAAAATTGAAATTAAATAAGTTAAAGTTATTCTCTAATTGTGAGAATTCACAAATCCCCTTAATTAAACAAAATATTTGATTCAGAAGACTATTTTACGGGTAGGTATTATGTTACATATCAGGAAAACATACATATGATAATAAAATGATGAAAAGAAGCATAAAAGCCAAGACATTTCTATGATTTTGTCCTACCATTAGAATATCAAATAAAGCTTATTAAAATAAGTGAATGTTTTATGCAGACTTTAACTAACAAATGAAAACAGGACAAAGAAAAAACGTTTAAATTGTTATTTTGTAACACTTAATTCAATCTTTAGGGTGGACAGAATGTGAGTTACTGTGAATTTTTAATAATGACTTAGGCAAAACAATGGACAATGGAAATTCCATCATATTCAGTAGTACACTTCCTTAAACGATTGAAACACAAAGTTACACTCAAAATCTCAGTATGAACTTTGCTCTTTTTGTAGAGCTGTATTTAATTTTCAAAACAGATAATTTTTGCCAATATAGATGTAAAACTTCGAAAACTAAACATCTATCATCCTTTTCATGTATAATACAAAATGCGTTCAGTAGAGAATGAAAACACGCATACTCTAATTATAATAAACACAATGATTCAATATTGTATTACGGATTGTGTGACATATTCATTAATTCGTTGATTACAATATGTTCTAGTGTAGACTGATTGAAACCAAAGAAATCGCTAATCCATCATTAAACTTCTTAGTTATTTTATTCATCAACTAGCAGAAAACAACATCATAGTTCTATTTATGATTCCATGATAATAAGGAGAAATAGGACAAAAGTCTCAAATAACACTTAAGAAAACATGTAATATCTATTTGTTTAAATCGTAACATTTATTCTAAATTATATTTTTTAAAACAACCGCAAATTATTGTTCAATGTAGAAAAAAATAATTACCTACCACTTTCAATTGAGGATAATACGTTTAAAGGTTTTGTGTTAATTAATTCTCGGCATGTATTAACTGGCGATAGAAAATTTTTCATTTCATTATCTTTACCAAATAAAACAGATGCAAATGTATTCAGTACAGATGGATCTGAGAAACGTTTAGTTGATGATTTTGTTTCTGCGCTTGCTTGAACATTGAAACCCCACCGTGTAACTTGTACATGAAGCTGAAAGCAAATAAGCATAAAAATAAAGAGAAAAGTAAATTATATAAAAATATATACATATATATAACATTAAGTTGCATTCATCTGTGATTATCTCCTATTCAAAACAGGATAGAATCCATGAACTTTAAGTTTTAATGTGAGAATGAAAACTGTAAATCACTGAGCTAGAAACAGAATCATCATCATTTTGATAGTGCAATTCTCATTCCCAAATCGTGATTTGGATAATCATCTAAATTATAGATTCCAATAAAATGTTAGGAAATACATTAAGAACAATCTCACTGATTAGCACTAAACAATCATAATTTTAATTAATTATCAGCTGAATGGCTCAATTCAAAATCCTGTGAATTACCTATTCAAATGAAAGATATTTGATGTGAACTTACGTTTAAACAGTAGTGATCATTTATGGAATTATGTAACTGAATATTGGATGGAATGTCATTAAAAACAATCAAGCATAATTTTTTATTCTTTAATCATCTAGACAAACTTGAACGAAGGATAACCTTAATTTAATCTCTTCATCTTATTGATTAATCTTAGTTGTTTCCATATCAAAGTTATGTCATAAATGATTCAGTAAGAATTAAATGGTAAATTTATTTGAAAATTGAAAATATCAAATAATTGACGAAATAGGCATCGTGTTTTTAGTAATTATTCATAAAGAAAATGAAGCTCAGAATCTATGTTTGCACAGTTTGATTCAATATCCCATTGTCTCTTCTCTTTTATTGCTACATAGATTTTTAAAGTGTCATTACGAGATTTTGAATGGTATTACGAAATTTCTCTAATCACTTCTAGATTTATAAAAAATAAGAATAAACAAGGTAAACCTTTTCTTTCATTTTGCATCAAATATCAAAATGATAAGCATAAACACGACTTCTATATGAAGTTTGTGCTGATGATGTCGTTCAGAAGAACGATGAATTCTCCACGACCAAACCATCTAGCTCAAAGAACAAAACTCCATCAAAAAAGATTAAAATATTTTATTAATTATAAGTTTAAGCTACTTCCTTTTTTCACGATACTAAAAGACTATTTTAGTGTAGAATAGAAATTATTCACTACTTCTATGATTACTTCTCCTGTTAACGGTTCCATACATCATTTCGTGTTATATTAAATATTAATCAATTAAAAATTAATTAATTCAAAGGATATGGCCTTTCGAGTAAATCCAACGTTTCGTATAGCAATCTAGTTAATTTATTAATGTTAATTTCCCTTTGAAAAAGCTTGGTTAAGATTACCAGTCGAAACGTTAAATTTACTTTATATTGATTCGTTGAGATTTTTACAAATACATTCTTCCTTCTTAATGTCTTACACTAACTTGGCACTCGAATACTGTGACTTTATTCAGACGAATTTTAATCAAAAGTTATAATATATTATTATGGAATGACCTTTACATTGTAAAATTAACTAATCAAAAGTAGAAAATAAACTTACAATATGTTTTGCAGATCGTATCCATTCTACTACTGTGTCGTAAGGTATATGTGTCACATCTTTTTTGTTTATTTTAATTAATTGATCGCCAGCACATAAAATACCATCCTTAAAATATACAAATAGAAATTACAATAAAACTCTTTATAAATAAACCATGTTATTCACATGAATACTTGTTTTATAATATGAATGAAATATCAATGTCAGCTTCTAAACTGAATCTATGTTTAAACTGTCATAGAAATGTAAAACATTTTTATTAAATCCATTAAATTCCATCCATGTATTCGACTAAAATTTGTGTTTTCTATATATGTACTTCGATAATCTGATAGCTGCTATCTGAAATTCAAATCAGTTATTTTGTTAATCTAATTTTAATATTAATTTTGATTTACTAAAAGAAAATCATTAACACAAACCAATATTTCATTTTAAAAAATAATGGGATATGGAACATTTATGTTGTCCATGAATAGAATTATGTAATGATGTACACTGTTATAATGCTTGCTTGGTTTCTGATAATTCTATTTATCTTTTTTGCAGTGATCATACACTTTAGTTTATATTAGAATGATTTAACTATCTTACTTTAATTATTGTTACTGTGGTGTGCTACTGATGTCGATAGATATAAGTAGTTTGTATCATCAATCAAAAGTGAAATGCCTGGCAGCAGAAGGTTAAGAAGATCGAAGAAAAGAGAACGAGAACAGAGAATGATTGCAGTGGAAATGAAGGGACAGTGAAGTCTGAGACGATTGATTGACACTTACAAAAGGAACAGTAAAGTTTGAAATAATTAATTGACATTTTGCAAATTAAGTATTTACCGTATGATTCTCGGATTTTACTAAGATGTTCTGTAGTTTTGTATTCAAATATACATTTGGTTGTCCCCACTAGTGTTCTCGTTCACAACAGCACTATTGGATAAAATTTGTCAGTCACTAAACGTAGTACTTTTAAAGTACTGTAGAGAACAGAATTATAATTAGAATATCTTTGCGATATCATAAGGTATATGGTCGTCTTTTTTATAACCTATTTCAATCTTCATAACTTTAAATACCTTTGATGTAATGAATTTTTGCATACAGAATATCGATCGAAAATAGAAAATTTATAATTTATTTGCATGACATTTCAGTGGAAGTTTGTTTTGTTCAAGTAGGTATAAACTAAGTTATCAAATACAAATTTAGTACAACTAACAATATGAATGTAAATGTGACCTTCTGAATCGTATTTACGTCAAATGACAAGATAGTATTGTCAATAGACATAAATCAGAAAACAATAAAGCATCTTATTTCTATATCAACAAAAAATATATAAGTTGCTTTAATAATGTTTTTGAATTAACAATCTGAAAATAATAATGTGGAGGGAACTATTTGTTCACTAAAGTGTGAACAACATATATATATCCTTAAATCTCATATATAATTATCGACTTAGCGTTAGTGAATAACGGAATTAAATAAATCAAATACGAGAATGGATTTTTGGATACCTATATTTTGTACACTCATTGATCTGGACAGGAAATGAGAGGGATGAAGAGAATGGAAGGGAGCGAAGCGAAATGACGCGCGGTGGAGAAGGCATGTGAGCCAAATCCCTTTAATCAAGCGTTAATCATTATGTATAGTTACACAAAAATAAGCTACAAACATGTGATGAGTAGGATGAGAAGTGTACACACCTACGCTCATATAAAAACAGTCAGGGTTGGTAAGTGAATAATTAACACTGTCAAAACGTGACTTAAGAATAATGGATATATATATATATATATATATATATAACTTTGTATCACTTAGGATTCTCAGATTCACCATAACAAATATCTATACTATTGGAATGAGGTGAAAAATATCACATAAACGCATAAACTGATGTCAATATTAAATCCATAATAAATGATGGCAGAAATATACAAATGAATAAACTTCGAAATAAATAATTACACAAAATCATGAGTTTTCTACCAGAGAAAATTATTTTTGGATTAGTTAATGTTTGTGTCATTTGGTGTTGCCTGTATTGCTTAGTATACATTATACAGATAAACTTAGAAGTTCTTTCTATTTCACAAGCATGTTAATTGTCACTTATCTTGGTATCTGAATATTAATTATTGTATTAAATAGCGTACCAGTTATTAAGTTATAGTGTCCAAAATTTAATAAACTGAAATCGGAATTGTGTACAAAAAGTTTACTAAAACATACTTTATCAGCTGGACCACCTTCAACGATTTGTTTAATATAAATTCCTTCTTCATTTGTTGCACTTCGTTCCATTATTGCAAATCCAAATCCTTTAGAACCCTATTTAAAAATAATACAAAATAATGTTTGTTTGCCAATAAACTCCGGGTTACAACGTTCTGTCTGAAATTTTTAATCATGTATAAATGCTTAGCGTCATGAAGCATGAACTCTTCGTCAATGAAAGAATCTGTGTCCTATCATATAAAGTAAATAATTTAACTCATAACAGCTGAGACATCTTAAGTTGTAATTCAGAACTAATCTTTATTCTCAAAATTCAGATAATTAGCTAGAGGTATAAATTTCTGTCTTCTAAGATTTTTCTTGAAAATACCTCATATATATAATTTTAATAGTTGAATTCATGAGTCAATTGAAGCTAGATCACCATGTAAAACATGGGAGCACAGGACGGCCGTTACATCCTAGTGTGGGACCCTGCAGGAGTGCGCATCCACGATCCTGCCTCGCGAAATTCAAGTCCAGGACCTATCGGTCTCGCGCGCGAGCGCTTAACCTCTCGATCACTGAGCCGGCATCCAACGGTACTAATGTCATATTACTAAAATCATAATCTAAATAATTGTTTAATCAAACTACTATCATATAGCATCGTTTGGCTTTTAGTAGGATACTTTTTAACAGAAATGACACAACAGGAATAGATTATAAGAATTCGATTATATTTACTGGATTTTATTAAATAAATTCAATCCTCAAAAATCGGTAAAATGTCCAGTCTTTATAATCACATACCAATAATATGTTAGCTCGGAATTCACTAAAATATAAGGTTTCTACTGTTTGGTGAATATAAATAAATCTATTTTAACCAAACAGAATCAAAATTGTTTATTTTACAAGATTCAAACAAAGTTTAGGTAAATAATTTTCTGATTTCAAGTTTTATTTACGTAGTTATTTTAAAAGATGAAATTTCGACGGCAGTTGGCACTTGTGTGAACAATAATATATTTGTGATACAATTTCTTAATGTTTATTATGAACGCATAGTTTTGTTTCTTTCATTTAAAGGTTTACGACATTATTTTGGTTCTGAATGACATTTTATCGAAAATTAATGATTAATTTTACGTAAACTATGATATATGAGTTTATCAAACGATCCTTGAATCCGTTTTCGTCCTATGTTTCTAAAAGTTACCTTTTGCGTAAGGATTTCAGATTTTTTATCGGCATCTAGTTGAGAAGATAACCTGATATACACCACCATCTTAATAAAGTGGTAATATTCCAACCATATTCTGTGATTATCTATCGTATATAACTCACCGAGCACACTAATCACGAGAATGAAATTTACGCTGATGAAAATTGTCAATAAATTAAGGATTTTGTTAACTTCTAACTCATAAAACCATCATGTTTATGAAAAATTCATTAATTTCAATGAAGACAAATTATCTTCGGTTTGCTAAGCTTTTTCGCTAATCGTATAATCAACTACTGGATTTTACAGTCGAAACCCTATGACAATACCAATAAAAGAAACTGTCAGTCAGCCTAATGACATTATGTTTTACTTGTAACTTAAAAGTTCTGGATTCACTCTTGCATGCGGTCAGAAATGTATCCTGTTAAGAATTCCTGAAATAATGAGACTAAAACAACTGATCACTGATTCTTGGTCTTTAAAAGCTCATCAGCTATTTTTAGTTCACAGTGAAGTTTATCTTCAAAGTCTACTTAATCGCTGAAAACTCATTAATAAAACAATGACTTTGAAGTTTCAGCATTTTTTAGATACAATAAGAAAAACAAAAACAACACTGATCAAATCTATGATAAAATAACAGATATTAATTGGCATTTAACAACTTACTCTATACAACGTTGTAGAGTATGTTTGTTGAGTTAAAGGTCCATGTGAACCACCAAATGCTAAATTCATAAATTCTATAGATTGTTTTGCTTTATTTATGTTCTTCACTGGTGATGTTAGTGCACTTGTTGTTGTATCTACACTGGTGTGTCGGCTGGATCGATCTGAAGAAGACTATTTAAAGAAATAAAAGTTTCAAAACATGAAACCAATTACTGCATAGCTTAAAATTTCATCATTGATTCGCTTAAACTATTTATTTCATAATTTTTTTAACATGAGTTTATTATTCGTTTGATAAACATGACAGATCAGTTTATCTGATTGTTGATAAATTACAGTTGTTTTATAAATTATAATTAAATTTCTGAATGATAGTAAAAACATCTTATCAAAACTGAAACAAGCTGTCAAGGTTAATAATTTCTTTTTTAAAAAAAGCTTTTGAGTATTCAATACTTATTTTGGTAACCTGTACATCAGGTTGAAAAGATGAACTGATTGTGTTAAATAGTAATAGTTGGACTAACGAGTCGATCAATTTAAGATCACCATTAAAAACCTCGAAACACTGAACGGCCATTTCGTCCTAGTACGAAACTCCTCAGCAGTGTGCATCCGCGATTTCACATACGAGACTCAATCCCAGAACCTCTGGTCTCACGCGCGAACGCTTAATGTCTAAATCATTGAGCGAGCATCCAATGGTGTTAATGTCTAACTTGAACCAATTCACGATATTGCGAGACCATCTTTCATTGTCTGAGGTAGATACCAGTCTCACACTCGATACGGATTTTACTCCACTGGTCATGGCTTCTCACTAGAACTCTAGAACATCCTTCTTAAATCTAGTCACCAGTGAACAAATGATTACTAACAGGATAGGGGTTTGTGGGGATTATAGTTATGTTAAAAAGACATGTCAAAACAGAAATTCATCACGATGTAATTAAGCAGTAGAACTAATTATCAGGACTGATTGATGTAGGGTAAAAAGAGTCGATAGATCTACATAATTCACTTTAAGTGTTAAAACGCGGTTCAGTAAAGACTTATAGAAGGCTTTATATTCATAAGAGCAAAGATGTATGTTTGTGATCAAATTCCAGTAATTCTGTACATGTTTTGGGCACTTGTATTTTAAATAGACTCATCTGGATACAAGTACTTCCGATTGAAACTCAGTCGCCATAAATATGACAAACGAAACTTTAATCACTAGAATAAAATCAATTAAAACATTGACGACAGATGAAGGACGCAAGCTCTCATGATGAAAATAGTGTAATATAGCTGTCGTACAAATGATCAGTGTAAAAAGGAGAAATAATTTATTAAACACATTTGAATCACTCACATCTGCATGTTGATTTGTTGCTAATGCTGCCATAAGATTTGTATTTGACGAATGACGTTGTATCACAAACCTCAAAGCATTACATTTTGAACGTCTGAAAATATTGCTACTTCTTCCTATCACTTCCATATAAATAGATCTGATTAGTGGAGCAGCATTCAAATGGCTAAGACCATATAAAACTTGATTATTGAGCTGAAATAGAAAAGCAAATGTAGATGTTTTCATTTTAAAATGTATTTTATGTAGATTTAATTAACATTTTTATCCTTATTCCCTTTTTACTTCAATTCAACGTTTAACATCCAGCATATGTTTAGTGTTATAAAAACAAGTTTAGAATATCCTGCTTGTTATTAATACATTCGAATAGAAAACATTATGGGATAATTGCTTGAAATTGACTTAGAATTGTGTATAAAGAACTATAGTTTGCCAGAAAGCTATCTATGTGAATAAAACGTTTTTTAGATTACATGTTTAGCGTACTATGTGATCTAGCGAAGTTCTTAGAAAATAAACGATCTCGTCAGATGACTTAACATAAATTTTTATTAAACAATAATCATTCAGTAACTATTTCGTGGAATATAAATATATATAAGACAATTCATCTAGTGTTAAGACTGATAAAAAACAAGTCAACACTACTACCACAATATCGAACGAGAATCTTGAAAGCGATGATAATCATAAATTCCACGCGTATTTTTAAATCAGTAAATAAGTCCACCTTTTTCCATGTGTCAGAAGAGGCTGTTTGTGGAGATTGTAGTAATTTCAATAGTTGAGATCATGAGTCAAATCAAGCTAGACCATCATGGAAAACCTCAACGCACTGGATGGCCGTTTCGTCCTATTATGGGACTCTTCAGCAGTGCGCATCCACGACCCCGCCTCGCGGGATCCGAAGCCACGACCTATCAGTCTTGCTCAATTTCGTTGAATGCCGGCTCAATGGTCTAGTGATTAAGCTGATTGAGATGAAAACCATGTTTTAATAGTTTAAATAATATATGGAGAAGTTAATATTTAGGCAAACAAGTTTCTTTTTAAGATATTGAACTCAATGTGCAATAGAAAAAATTGAATATAAATTTATACTGAATTGTATATAGCTATAGTTTTTTTTCTCTCCGAAATTAATCCTCAGTTTTTTTAAAGAGAATAATCAAAAAGAAAATTATAAAAGGTAATTAAGATCAAAACAGTCCTAAATTAAACTTTTATTTAACTAAATACAATCTGTTTTTATATTCTTTTATAAATAGAGTTTTATATCGATCAATAATCAGTGTTTATATTCTATGTATTTCAAAAGATCAACATATTCAAAGAATCTTTCAATTATTTTTATAGGTAATGAAATAAAGAGACTGATCAATTGTAGTCTTAAACATCAATCAGAAGATTCAAACAATCAATGCAAAAATGAATTCAACTTCACTTCATTACACAAACTAATGGTTATCAAGACTCAGTAGTTAAGTGGATAACGTGATGACATTTGAAGCGATTAGTACTGAATTCGAGTCCCAGAGTGGACGTCAACTCTGAGATACAAGTTCATTCAATTGATGAGTCCCAAATACGACGAAACTCGTATCCTGAATTCAACAACTAGTCACAATCATCTCTGCTTATAATGACATGAATACATTTTTAAAATTATATTTCTGTTTCAATTACCTTGTGCATATTGTATTAAATAAGGTGAACTAATTGTTATTTATCGTGGAATCGAATTTTTTATCCATAATTTAATAATTGTGTAATCTTATTTTCAGAAATTTCAAGTATTTATCAAGTCAATATGATTCGTTACTGAAATAGAAAGAATTACCTTCTAACATGATAAGTATCAGAAATCTAAGATATTTTGCTAATATTTTATATGATTTTAAGTTTGTTGACTGTAGTCCCTAACATTTATTTCCGTTATCCAGTTAGGAAATCCGTACGTGTCTACGAAATATAGGAATTTATTTGCAAACTGTTCGTCTAATTGATAGTGTTCATCATTTACTTCATCTTGTCTACTGAACAGTGAATCCAAGTAAATGTACCATTTCAATTCACTGGATTATCTAATGAGAATAATAGTTTTGATAGATGTTATAACTTGTGTGTCTGTGCCCCTATCAATGTATAACGTAATGATACCGTCAATCAGAAAACAGTGAATTATCGACCGGACCAGTGACGCATAAAACCCGTACGAGCAGTCTAGAGTCCTTATCAGTCCTGCTTCCTGCCGAGTCACCCCTGTTAAGTCCAAAACACCAATCTCAGCCTCCGCGATATGAATCGTATATTTCAAACATACTAGGTTTATATACAAACCAAACAGACAACATAGTACCACAAAATAGAAAATATTATTTGTACAAGATTTAGCCAAAAGTGGCTATGAATGTGGGAGATAGTAATTGATAGACTAAGCATAAGTCAAGAATGGTAAATCGTATAATAATTGTTCACAGGTCAAAATAAAGCTTATGATAAGAGGAACACGAATATGAATAGTTTGGTTATTTAAAAATTATACAATCAAAATATACGTAGAGTATTATTCCGAAAATAGATTTTAACTGTTACCATTCATTATTCTCATCGGGATATAACAATAGACAAGTTTGAGAATACTGTTAATGTACATCATAAGTATATTATCTTATTTATTTTATTAAAATATATTATCCAGTAAAAAGAAAGTTATCGTCAGGTATTTTAATTATAAGTAACCTCATGCAGAATAAAGTTTAGTTCCAAGAATATCTATATATTACGCATAAACCTATTGCATATGTTGGAATTAAAGTGTTAAAATTTATAAGAGAAATAAACTAGATTCTCAGCACAACAGGAGGTCATTCATGTTGATCATTGAATGAAGCTTGATAGGCTGATACATATTGACTAGAGGATTGGGATCTTTTGTATATTATATTCAAATCAACTAAATTAGTAATATTCATTCAATTTAATATCTCAGTGTGTTATAACTAATCAACTTTAATTGTACAGTTATACTTGTTAAAAGTATTTTTGTTTCTCATTTTTTTAAGTATATCAAGTTTTATGTTATAACATTTGTTTACCTTTTTACTTTATGTAAAGAATTTGTTTTTCAGTAAAATTCTAAATGTGTTTACTCATTAGGAAACTTCTTCTTTTCACCCTTTACTTGTCATTTCAGGTTGAGGTAATTTTCAATGTTTACATAATAATCTTGTATTCGTTTATGTATAATGATGATAATGTCAATTAGTTTGTCAAATAATTTTAAAAATTTTATTAAATTAAAATACATAAACAAATAATAACGCTTGACCAAAAAGAATGTTAAAAGTTATTTATTATCAACGAAAAACATTTTTTGATTGAGATCATGAACCGATTTGTATTAGACTATCATGGAGAACCTGGGAGCACTTGACGACTGTTTCGTCCTAATATAGGACTACTCAGCAGTGCGCATCCAAGATTTCAACTCACTAGATTCATATTCAACAAAAATTGATGAAAAATGATTCACATGAATAATCAACAACAGTCTAATTCACTTGGTGTTGTTTTATTTGTATATTCCCGTTGTTATTTTGGACTGAAATTGATCAGTCTCATGATAGCATATGTGCATGTTATGCGGATTGCCTTGATATTGCCTTAAGTCATAAGTTTAAACAACCGTTTATTTTAATTATGATCTATGGTAAATCTGCATACATTTCATGAGTGATTTATTTCATACACAAGCCTTGGGCAAGAATTCAGAAGAAAACATATACTTTTCAAACTAAGATTGTTTAAAGAGAGCAAGAACAAAGATTGGTGCAGAATAATATGAATTCATTTTATTTCGTTAGGTTCTCATCAGCTGCTTACAACCTAAATTATTTAAAATTCAACATTAATACAGATATTGACATATTTATACATAAGAGTGTGATTAAGGATCAATACATGTGTATCATGATGTAGCGAATATTCAGATGGAGTTAATGAGCTCACAAAATGTTTGATTCGAATAAATAAATAAAGTTAGAGAGAGAAAGTTCCAGAACATTGAAATAGTGATTAGAACTCATGAAAATAGATTAATGGTAATAAAGAAAATATGAATTGAAATCAATCAGTTATGTATGATGTAATTTATATTTCAGAAAGAGTTGCAATAATGACGTAATAAATATATAAATAGGAGCAAATTAATAGAAAGAGTGGGGGTTATTGTTACCAGGGTAAAGAAAGATTTATTACTGTCTCTTTTTGTATACATAGGTCTGGTTTTAAACGCTTGATTGCTAACGCTTCAGCGAATTTCAAAAGGTTCGAGTTTGATTGTTTGTTAATCACCTTGAAGGACTTCAGTATATCAGCTTTATGTCCTGTATCAAGGAGATGTCTGGCGATAGCACTGTTGAATGCGTTCAATCCATTTAACCTTAAACTTTTCGAAATATGTTCTTTGAATCGGACGTAGGCTCTCCTTTCTGTTCTACCAATGTAACTGCTTTGACAGGTACATGTAAATTTGTATACGCAGTTGGTGGTAACATAAAAGGGATACCTATCGACCTTTGATTGTGTCAAAGAGCATGTTGTTTTGGACAGGACAATCAATTTCGCTGCAGGATAAGTTCTTGTCAGTGCAGTTTTTAGTCTCATATTGATGGATCCTGTGACATCGTCACCTTTGAATTGAAGTTTAATAAAAATAGGCTTTTTATTTGCTGTAATTTCTTTCGGCTTTTTAACTTCACATTTGCCGTATTTCTCAATAAATTTCAGTGGGTATCCGTTATTCTTTAAACATTTTTTAACATTCATAACTTCCTCTTCTAGTGTATCGGAAGTACATATTCTTTCTGTTCTGTAAAACAGTGTTTTGACCAGTGCCTTTTTGTAACTGATTGGACAAAAGCTATTGAAATTAAGATAACTACCATTCCATGTGTCTTTCTTATAAACTGAACGTTGAACTGTACCATCTTTTCTTCTTTTCATCGCGATATCGAGAAAATGGAACTTGTTTTCTTTTTCATGTTCCATAGTGAAATGGATATTCGGATGTGCTTCGTTGAAAAACTCTAGCAGATTTATTGCATGTTGTTTATTATTACATACGATGAAGGTATCATCAACATATCTCGAATAATACGTCATTTCATCAATCGCTCGTTTGAGTTTGGTTCTTTCGAGGTTAGCCATGAAAATATCTGCTAGGACAGAACCTAACGGACTTCCCATCGCTACACCATCGATTTGTTTGTATATGATATCGTTGAACTGGAACTGAACATCTTTTGTACAAATGAGTAATAGTCGTTTGAATTCTGGTACTGGTAGAGGTAGGATGTCAGAATGTTGACAAATTATGTCTATGGTCTCAAGAAGTGGTATTTTTGTAAACAAAGATGTTACATCAAAAGAAACCATAAACTTACCGGCAATATTTATGTGATTCATGCTGTCAGCAAATACAAATGAATCCTTTAGTGTATAGGTGGCTAATCGTTGACGCAATGGTTCTAACTTATCTGCCAACCATCGTGCAACTTTGTGGTATGGTGAATTGATCATTGACACAATAGGTCTAAGAGGACAACCTTGTTTATGTATTTTCGGTAATCCATACATGTGGGGCAAACGAGACCCACGAGGTCGTAGATTATTGTAAGTAGAGTTATCGATCATCTTCTTTTTCAGAAGATCTCTGAGTACTTTGATGAGACCATAGACATAATTTGTCAACATTCTGACATCCTACCTCTACCAGTACCAGAATTCAAACGACTATTACTCATTTGTACAAAAGATGTTCAGTTCCAGTTCAACGATATCATATACAAACAAATCGATGGTGTAGCGATGGGAAGTCCGTTAGGTTCTGTCCTAGCAGATATTTTCATGGCTAACCTCGAAAGAACCAAACTCAAACGAGCGATTGATGAAATGACGTATTATTCGAGATATGTTGATGATACCTTCATCGTATGTAATAATAAACAACATGCAATAAATCTGCTAGAGTTTTTCAACGAAGCACATCCGAATATCCATTTCACTATGGAACATGAAAAAGAAAACAAGTTCCATTTTCTCGATATCGCGATGAAAAGAAGAAAAGATGGTACAGTTCAACGTTCAGTTTATAAGAAAGACACATGGAATGGTAGTTATCTTAATTTCAATAGCTTTTGTCCAATCAGTTACAAAAAGGCACTGGTCAAAACACTGTTTTACAGAACAGAAAGAATATGTACTTCCGATACACTAGAAGAGGAAGTTATGAATGTTAAAAAATGTTTAAAGAATAACGGATACCCACTGAAATTTATTGAGAAATACGGCAAATGTGAAGTTAAAAAGCCGAAAGAAATTACAGCAAATAAAAAGCCTATTTTTATTAAACTTCAATTCAAAGGTGACGATGTCACAGGATCCATCAATATGAGACTAAAAACTGCACTGACAAGAACTTATCCTGCAGCGAAATTGATTGTCCTGTCCAAAACAACATGCTCTTTGACACAATCAAAGGTCGATAGGTATCCCTTTTATGTTACCACCAACTGCGTATACAAATTTACATGTACCTGTCAAAGCAGTTACATTGGTAGAACAGAAAGGAGAGCCTACGTCCGATTCAAAGAACATATTTCGAAAAGTTTAAGGTTAAATGGATTGAACGCATTCAACAGTGCTATCGCCAGACATCTCCTTGATACAGGACATAAAGCTGATATACTGAAGTCCTTCAAGGTGATTAACAAACAATCAAACTCGAACCTTTTGAAATTCGCTGAAGCGTTAGCAATCAAGCGTTTAAAACCAGACCTATGTATACAAAAAGAGACAGTAATAAATCTTTCTTTACCCTGGTAACAATAACCCCCACTCTTTCTATTAATTTGCTCCTATTTATATATTTATTACGTCATTATTGCAACTCTTTCTGAAATATAAATTACATCATACATAACTGATTGATTTCAATTCATATTTTCTTTATTACCATTAATCTATTTTCATGAGTTCTAATCACTATTTCAATGTTCTGGAACTTTCTCTCTCTAACTTTATTTATTTATTCGAATCAAACATTTTGTGAGCTCATTAACTCCATCTGAATATTCGCTACATCATCATACACATGTATTGATCCTTAATCACACTCTTATGTATAAATATGTCAATATCTGTATTAATGTTGAATTTTAAATAATTTAGGTTGTAAGCAGCTGATGAGAACCTAACGAAATAAAATGAATTCATATTATTCTGCACCAATCTTTGTTCTTGCTCTCTTTAAAATAATAAAGGGAACTATGTGTATAAAATTGTTTATCTGGAACACAGTTTCGTCTTGTTGAGATTTCATTATCTTCATATAATGATTTAACTGTATGTTATCCGTTGTAACTCGGTGGATATCAACGTATTACCTTAAATTGAAGTGTTCAAAACCATCATTCGATGAATATTTAAATTTGCAAAATAAAACCACTCATGCCATAGATACTCCGAATCTCTTTCATTATTTTTATCGATTAATTCCATGTAATAATATTGTATTGAGAATATTGGAAAAGTTCAAGGTTGTTTGATAAATCTTTCATGATATAGGGATTAACGTTCAACCCAATGTTTGATTCAAATTGTTTCCACTTAAAATTGAAAAATTCAGAACTTTTTTTACTCAAGTACAGTTCAACTGTTGACAAAGTTTTGTAGGGAGAGAGAAAGATTAAATAGATTTATGAATTAAAGAGCCTTGAAAATTTTATTTTTTGTACTCTACGTTTTAGTTTATCTCTGAATTGCTGGGACTCGACCCGGTTAACACTTGTGTAAATTACTTTACCCAAAAATTTACTAGGTGTTAAGTATAGTCAATAGATACAAGTTATGAATATGTTGTGGTGACAAAATGTAAGCTTAATATTAATTATATATAGAAACATTCTATATATATATGTAAATTACTTATCATCAGTCTACTTAATGAATAGGTGATTGTCATTAAACTGACTGCGCACATTTGTTATTAGTTAATATTTTCATGCAAAACACAATGTGGATACCGATATTCGTCTTGAATATATGTTAGTAACAATAATACAAATATTCTAAATTTATTATCACTTACTTCTAATAACTGATCGCCAACTTCTATATGTCCGTCACGTTCAATGATACTTCCTGGTTGTATTCCACATACGAAAACACTCATTTGATTTAAATCTCTACTTCCGGCAAGTTTTAAACCTAAATTTACATTTTTATGATGAGATGCTTCGACAGTCAAAGTGCTCAAAGGTAATTCGAATGTTATAATTTCTCCAGGTAATTCACTGTATTTGTTTAATAAGTATTCTGCAAAATATAAAATTTTTTAGTAAAATTAAATTTAAAATTCTACAAAAACATAAAAATAGGTATTATGAAGATAAAGTTAACTTTTTTATTTGTAATATACATTTCAGAAAGTCATATTTTATATGTTAAGAAGCACATTTTAAAGTGGCTCAGTTTCGTAGGGATTAATTGTTTGTCCATTGAAATGCTTGAAGACGTATCAACTTAAATTCCGGAGTCATGATTTCAATTAACATAGATTAATAAGGTGACCTTTCCATTAAATGGGATTCATATCATTTAAATGAATTCTTAAAGGTATATTAGTTGATATGTGAATTTTACTTAAGTAATTTCGATTTCATTTTTAACGACATATTGTAAAGTAAACCAGTTAGGCATTACATTGACCTCAAACAAAAACCCGGTAATGGCAAAACGTTTGCTTAGATTATATTGTATTACAATTCTATTAGTTTACATCTTCAATAAACACAACTTCATTTGTTACCTACTTTTTCGTGAGTTTTACTTTTGTTTTATTGTGAATAAACCTTCAATGCTTTGGATTACAATGTTTGATTGTAACAAAATGCAAAATCTATGTATTGATCAACAAACTGTTGAACCGATAGCTGGGTAATTTGCTTAGAAATGTTCTGTCTATTAGATGTCTGTACTTATAACAGTGAGTTTTTCCCAAGTAAAAAAATTCAATAAAAGTATAAACTTCTATTAAATACAAAGAAACTTAATATTTTTCTTATTTTATTGTCTACTAGCTTCTTGTTTTGAACTTTTTAAGGAAGTTTCTACATCTTCAATTAGCTTCCCATCTTGAAATGACACATGATTAATTGAATGTCGTTTTGAAGTCTCGATATTAAACTATAATCCTTCGAAAATTTATATCAGATTTCTAATAATATAAAAAGTATATTAGGATCCATTTTATTTAGAAATAAATGACTTCTTTACAGTTAATGACATGAATCTATTTAGTGAAAAAAATAAGTTAAGTAGTCAACTTCAAAATGTCGAGACCAAGGCGATATTGTAAACAGTGAATATACAACTAATAATTTTGAATAATCCATAGAAATTCAAAAGAATTCATTCCAATATATACTAACCATTGTCAACTAGATATATATTTTCTCTTACATTGCATATGTGAAAATATGTACTGTATTTTTATTTATCAGTCATGTGAATTGTTTTATTTATTAGAATAGAAAAGCAATGAATCGCTCAGTATAAACATGTTATAACGTAACATACCGATACATATGATTAGGGGATAATTCTTGGTCAAAGAATGGTGTCATAAAAAATATCTTAGTATTAATCCTAGATTTAAACCAAATGTAACCAAACATTTAGTATTAATATAAAGCTTATACACAAATAATAATAGTAATAATAATCCCCTCCTAAACTTCCGGGTTTATTTTCTTCAAAAACTTCGATTTAATGATTTTCTACTTCAGATAAAGTAAACAAAGAAACAAAATAATAAGCTCAATGAAACCTAGAAATCAGAAAACAAAATTTACATAATTACACTTGCAAGCTTGAGAATTTCAAGAAGATTGTTCAAATAAAAATTGAAAAAAAAACGAAATTATTCCAATTATTTTGTTGTTTCATCACTGGCTAATGGAATGTAGTAAATCAAGTTTTTATTACCTTTGAAAAAAAAGTTTTTTTTGTAGCTATCTGAAAAGAAAAAAAAACGTGATTTATATTCTGTAACCAATTGTCTGATCAATGTACACTGACACTTGAATATTGAATTTTCTTTGTAAGACACATTGAACTGTAAGTGGAATTTATAATATTCTGTATTGATCTAACATAACATGTTGTAGCGGTGTTTTTTATATTTCAACTATTTAATCTTTATTTGAATAAGCTTTTTGAAAGAAATAATTATTAGATCATTCGAAAAGAAATACTGATTCGTCCAGTAATAAATTATTCTTGATTATTTATTATTATGGATATCAAAACTTTATATGGTAAACCTTTTACTTTTCATAAAAGTCACGTACGTAGAAAATAACAGTACAAATATTTCCATTTATTGAATTTGTACATTCAATGTTTGTCTTTGATTGAAGCATATTAAACTCAATTAGTGAAAAATTTATTTTTATTTATTATAAAACTATTTCATTACATAAAAAGATCTTGTGAACATTACTTTTGACTGTAAATGTGTTATGAAATAGAGTAATTCTATCGATTATTAGTAGCAATAGTGACTTATTGTGTTGGTTCTCGAATGCTATGCAATGATTAAATGAATCGATTTACAACCGTCGACCGTAATAACATGAAAAAAATAGGAAATTTTAAGGACAATTTAAAGTAAACATTCTTATAACTACAAGTGTCTTTTGGGATAAGAATTAATTTTCTTACCTAAATACATGTTCATGTCATTATAATCAATTTAAAAAGTATTGAAATGTCTTAATAAATGACATTAAATTGATGACTTAAACGATTATTAAATGAATAGGCGACGACAGCCACATGTCCAAATCGAAAGATCAATGCGAATCGTGAATAGAACTGATATATTTATTGGGATCACTGATTATTTTTCGAAAGATTTATGAAAATAACACCATACACTTAGTGGTGGATAAATATTGAAGGAGTTTTTACTCAAAGTAACATACCTCGATTTGGGAACGATAAGTTAACTTGTTACGTCATGGTTGATGATCATTATATATTCAAATATACTGGGTATTTAGAAGTGACATTCACAAACGTTACTAACAAGTTACTTGAGTCATGGTTGACGTTGGTTAGGACTGAGTTAATTACAGTGAGAAGTCAAGGAACAGTGGCAAATATCCTATTTATTCAGTTATTACTGCTGTTTTAAATCCCTGTAGTTTTAAGAGTCAGTAATGTAATAAGCAATGTTTAGGCGTTGAACTGGTCAATTTCAAACTAATGAGTACTAGTGTAAGTTTTATAATACAAAATGGATTTTTTGCCTGACTGATTGCGTGATATATGGAATTGAAATGATATATTTTTTCACACAAGTAAACATTAGCCATAACTCTCTTAGTCAGAAATTAGACTTTGAACACCTTTTCGCTTTTTCTAATATAATTTATTTCTAAAAAAAAGTAATCATTAAAACATACCAGATGAAAGGATTAGTTTAATACGATTATTACTGTTCTGATTATTAATAATACCAAAATATAGAGCTCAATGTTACGCTTCACAGAACGATTTGATTTCTCACAGAAAACAAGTGGGATTATTTAAACAAATCTGAAATGTTTTGTTGCATGAAACAAAATAATGCCCCTATGAAGTAATTATCAACTATGTTTTTTGATAAAAAAGAAGAAACAAAATATATTCCACCCTATTTTAGATACTACTCACTGATGCAAAAAAGAGTGGCAATTCTGTTTTATTTTACCTGCTAAATAACGGTGGGTATTTCCTTTTTTTTAAAACAACAAAACGTCTACAGTTAAAGCCATAGAGAATACAAAAAAATTTCATTTGTACGTAACACTGAACGAAATATATAGTAAACAAAATTTTGATTAGTTATATGATTGATGGGTTTTACCAAACGATGAAGTAATAAAAATTTGATTGGTAACATATTTTTTTACACTATAACCCTCTGTTTAAATGCACTGTCAACTAATCACGGGAACTGAAATTCATTAAACAACTACAAACAGAGGATTAAAAAAACTGATACTAGGATGGCAATTTAGGAAAAAACGCAAGCAATTTGTTAAGCATAACCGTCTATATGTATTGTAAATTTTGAGTCGAATGATCCGTCGGAAAGAAAATTTGAATAAGTTTATTCTGTAAATAACATAAAGCGAATATATAAGATATATTTGAAGTTTGACATTAACACCGTTGGGTGCCGGCTAGCTCAGTGGTCTAGTGGTTAAGTGCTCGCGCGCGAGTCTGATAGGTCCGGGTTTCGAATCCCACGGGGTGAGGTCATGGATGTGCACTGCTGTGGAGTCCCACGATAGGACGAAACGTCCACCCAGTGCTTCCAGGTTTCCCATGGTGGTCTGGCTTCAACTGACTCATGATCTCAACTATTGATTTATTTGTTTATTGTAAAACATTCTATCGTTAATCTTCGATGCTCATTAAGGTAACACTTTTTTTCAATGAAAAAGAAAGATATTTTAAGTTATTAGAGCTTATTACATGAGTATTTAGTAATAATATGTCTCCAAGTCTTTGTAATTCACGTCAAAAACAGAAAATTACAATAAAAGGATCAAAAATTAGATCTATACTGTCTACGAACTAAAGTAGAAATAGATCCTATTGGTAGATTTTGATAGAATTTGTCAGAATGTAAAATATACAAATATGTACTATATGCTATGTTTGGCTGAATACAATGATTGCTGCAACCACTTACTTTTTATCATTTCTATGCAGTGTCTTCTTTTTCTAAGTGTTATATAATAAATATCAGGCAATGAAATTAAATTTTTCTTCTAAAATAAAATATTCAAAAGCAGTATAAGATTTATAATTGTGCTTTCAGACAAAGTGTTTACTTAGATATTATTAGTATATGTGACAAACTTCTCACCAATATGTTTCCATTAGACTATTAACGTCAAAATAATTATCCATGTTTACTACAATATATTGAAGTTAGATGACTAGTGAACTAACTTAAGCCTGTTTCCACCTCAATTTTCGAACATAACTAGTTGTGAAAATGATGTTTAACTTACTGTAATCAGTTACTATACTTTGAAATGATTTAAGATAATTGATAAATAATTACTACAAATGTTCTTTAGTCTTTTAATATAAGATGTAATATATCTAATTTATCTGCTTTTATTAAATCAAAATATAAATAACGATAATGAGCATCAAAAGAGTATGCTTCATCTACTGAACGTCAATAGAATGTAATGATTTTATATTTCATTTACATGGTGAACTTCTAAACTTGGAACAATTGTTAGACG